CCTCCCGCTGCTTCCTCTGGCCTCGGGAGCTTCAGGTTCGCGCCGAGCTATTGGATTATGTTACTGCTGAGACGGGCTGCGGGGAGCTGAGCCAGGGGAGGAAGAATGCGGGTCTACTTAATGGTCTTCTGCCTTATTTCTTGCACCGCGAGCGGGCAAATAGTGTATTCCATCACCGAGGAAACGGAGCGTGGAGTGTCCATTGGAAATATAGCAAAAGACTTAGGAATAAATGCTGCTACTCTTTCTTCACGGAAATTTCGCATGATCACCGGTTCAAGTAAGCAATATTTTAATATAGATTTAAGCACGGGGGCTTTAACTATTAAGGAGCCCATAGACAGAGAGCAGGTTTGCGAATTAAAATCTACTTGCTTTCTGAGTTACGAACTTGTGCTAGAAAACCCTCTAGAGCTTTATAGGATGGAATTTAAAGTCCTGGACATAAATGACAACTCCCCCAGCTTTCCCCTAAGTGAATATCATGTAAAAGTGGCTGAGTTCCTGTCACCTGGGGCACGGTTTACACTCCCCACGGCCCAAGATTTGGATGAAGGTTCCAACAGTGTCCAGAATTATACTCTGAGCCCTGAGGAACATTTCCATTTGGAAATGCAGACACACGGGGATGGGAGTAAGTATCCTGAATTGGTGCTGGAGAAAGCCTTAGATAGGGAGCAGCAAGCCACTCACAGACTCATCCTTACAGCCAAAGACGGTGGGAATCCCCCAAAGTCTGGTGACGTCCAGGTCATTGTGACTGTGCTGGATACTAATGACAACGCACCGGAATTTGAGCACTCAGTCTATAGGGCAAGTATCTTGGAAAACTCCCCCAATGGCACTTTGGTTGTCCGAGTACATGCCACAGATTTGGATGAAGGTCTAAATGGAGAAATCAGGTATTCATTTAGCAATAGCACTGCTGCTGATCTACAGCAAATGTTCTTAATTCACCCTCATACTGGGGAAGTGACAGTCAATGGCGTTTTAGCTGTTCAGAGACCTCTTCTTGAAATGTTTATTGAGGCAAGGGATAAAGGGGCATTTGGCCTGTCCAGCACAGCTAAACTGCTGGTGGAAATCACTGATGTGAACAATCATGCCCCAGAGATAACAGTTACATCCCTTTCTAGTCCCATCCCTGAAGATGCTGTACCTGGCACTGTGATAGCTCTTCTCAGTATTATGGATAAAGACCCTGGGGAGAATGGGAAGGTAACCTGCCAGATTCCTGATAACCTTCCCTTCCAGCTAAAACCCTCCCTTGAAAACTACTATAGCCTGATCACTAGTGGGCTTCTGGATCGAGAGTTGATTAGTGAGTACAACATCACCATTACTGCTACAGACCTGGGATCCCCTCCTACTACCACTCAGAAGACCCTTTGGGTACAGATTTCTGACGTGAATGACAACCCCCCTGTCTTCACTGCTGATGCATGTAACGTTTCTGTGGAGGAGAACAATCCACTTGGTGCTTTTCTCTACCGTGTTTCAGCATCTGACCCCGATGTGGGGGAAAATGGACGGGTCTCTTACATGCTGAGGAACTCCACGGTTGCAGGCAATACGTTGGCCAGTTTTTTATCTGTGAGCTTGGCCAATGGGAGCATCTATGCAAAACGTGCCTTTGACTTTGAGCAGTTTAGGAGTTTCCATTTCCAAGTGGAAGCCAAGGACAATGGGTCACCAGCTTTGAGCACTGCCATAACTGTGAATGTTTACATTTCGGATCAGAATGACAACGCCCCCACCATCCTGTATCCCATTAGCCAGAATGGCTCAGTAGCTGTGGAAATTGTGCCCCGCCTGGCTGATGAGGGTTACCTGGTGACCAAAGTGGTGGCAGATGATGATGACAATGCACAGAATGCCTGGCTCTCCTATCATCTTGCCCAGTCCTCTGATTCCACACTGTTCCACCTGGTACCACACTCCGGTGAGCTGCGCACCACACGCTCCATGCGCACCACTGACTTCCTCAAGCACAAGGTGGTCGTGGTGGTGCGGGACCATGGGGACCCGCCACTCTCTTCTACTGTGACTGTGGGCATCCTGCTGGCTGACTCCCTGCCCCAGGCACTGCCGGACTTTGATGACAGTGGGGAGCCACCACCTCTGCTGAACACCACAAACCTCTACCTGATTGTTTCCCTTGCCTGTGTCGCCTGTGTCTTTGCAGCATTC